AAAGAAGTCAGGAATGATTTTTCTTTTAAAAGTTTTTAGTATCGATATTTCTGTTAAAGGAATATATGTTGGAGAAAAATAGAAATAATAAATCACCATCTTCCCAAATCACTGACATAGCTATAATTCCACCAATCTTACTTTGGAAATGTCATGTGATTTCCTGTATTATTTTCCATCTTCAAGTCCAGAGGCAGCCTTCCACTAGAGCGTCCCTTTGGCCTGCTGAAGGATGACTGGCTTGATCTATGCCCCCACAAGGGAATGGGACTCTTGAGGTTCCGGAGAGGAAGCTGGCCAGCATCCGACTTCTTTTCCTCACAGATATTAATGCTAGAAGCTTGTTTGCATTTTTCTGCATATCCTTTCTTAGCCACCTCTTCCCCTATGTCCACATTTCCATATTCAGCTTGGGCAATGACTGTCCCATCTTGATAGGTTGCTTTAATTCGCATTTTTATTTCCTTTTCAAAAATCAAGCTCCCTAAAAAGGTTCTGCCCTGAGAAAGATAGGGGAAAAGACATAAATCAGGTATGGTAACATGTTTTTCTTCATATGTTTTGCTTCTACCTAATTCTCTAAAGGAACCTATGTCTTCATTCTGAGAGCTCTATAAAACCAGCCTTACCTTGCAGTTAGCTATTTTTATATGCAAATATACTTGTGTACACATATGAAATTATTCAGGTTACACACTTGCTAAAATCTTCCTTTGCAGAAGTAGCGCTAAAACCTACCTAATAGGACTGGAAAAGTTACAGACTATTACCAATAACTAAAGCAATCATATTTATAAATTTTAAAACATGCCAATCAAATAATCTTGAATGATCTTTTTAAAATCCAGCAGTTTGGCCCCAACTACATAAAGTAGCATCCTCAGGCGTTACATAGTAATTTCACTGATATCTAGAAAGGAGCTCATGTGAAAACAAAATGAACCTTTAAAAGAGTTTCGTTTTTGTTTTTAAGACAGTCATACTCTGGTGTTAAAAATAAGAACAGGAGCAAATTCAACAACAGAAGCACCAAAAGTCGGCAATCTGAAATCGTAGACCATGAGTTGCTGTTGTTCTTGTTAGGTGCCATCCAGCTGTTCAAAAATCCTAATCTCAAGATTACCATAAATAAAATAGGGTTTAAAGGGAAGCCACAATTTCCAAAATTTTCTGTCTTTGGGAGTTGCATTGCTTGGTTTGGTTTTTGTTTGTTCGTATTAGGATGTATCCCAGAATTGACCCTTCAGAAGAGAACAGAACTGCCTCAAAGGGTTGTCAATTAGCTCAACTGTAATCGATTATCTTTTTTCTTAATGAAACATCAAATACAAATACTTGCATATAGTACCACCTATTAGAACTCTGAGGCATAAAATATGCTCAATAGCTGAGTGTACTCTTTCAATTCCAAAGCTAATGTCTGTTTCCTTGACTCATGTTTACCTCAATCAGTATTCCCTTGCATTACCTTACTCAGTGGTTCTCAACCTTCCTAGAGGCACGGCCCTTTTACACATTTCCTCATGTTGTGGTGACCCCCCAATGATAAATTTATTTTTGTTGCAACTTCTTAACTGTAATTTTGCTACTGTTATGAATCGGGTGACCCCAGTGAAAGGGTCGTTCAACCCTCAAACGGTCGCAACCTACAGGTTGTGAACTACTGCCTTACATACTATAGAATTGGCAAAGGACTTGAGTTCTAGTTTTAACTCTGATCTACTTAGCTTTATGGCTATAAATAAGTCACTTGTTTTAGACTACAATTTACTTATTTTTAAAGTAACAAGTTGAGAACAAAAGAATTCTAATAAAGTCTATAAAATTAATAGGCCAAGATTCTAGGCATGCAGGAGATTCAAAATAAGCCTTTAACTTGGCCAAAGCATTTAATATTAAGAAAGTTACAAACTTTAGGCTTTAAATTGAAATTTTAGGATATGATTTTATCATCCTATTTACTCTATAGACGTGAACGTATGAATCCAATATGAGAATATGTCTTACAAATAACTATAGTACAAACAAAATTACACCCAAGCAATTAAACAATTATTTTCTACAAGAGAAAACTACAAGTTTTCTACATTTTAGACTCTCCTTAAAAATACCAATTACATTGTTCACATAAGCCACTTGAGCTGTAGGTCATACTGAGCACCTGATTAATGTGCAACAAAATATCCCTCACCAGCATGAAAACCACCATTATTCTTGCACCTCATCACCCAACCCAATGCCATCAGGTTGATTCCAACTCCTAACTACAGATAGTCTATTGGACAGAGTAGAACTGTTCCATAAAGCTCCAGGACTATAAATCTTTATGGAAGCAAACAGTCTATGCCTTCTCCTGTGGAGTACTGGTGGGTTTGAACTTTCAACCTTGAGATTAGCAACCAAATGCTTAACCCACTGTGCCACGATGGTGTCTCATTATTGCCTACTAGATTTAAAAGGAAGTGAGATTTTTATAAAACTACTCAAAAGTTATCTGATTTACTTTTCTCAGGAATAAGTTATCCCAAAATTAAACCCATTGGCCTAAAGTTTGCTGTAAATCTTGAGAGAAACAGACAGCCACAACTTTTCCCCTCAGAGTTGCTGGTGTGTTCAAACTGCCTAGCTAATGGTTGGCAGCCAAGTGCCTGAACCCCTGTACCACCGTGGGTCCCCAGGATTAGATTACCAAGCCAACGTTCAATAGGAATGATTATAAACTAGAATGTAAGGTAACAAGACACCACTGCCAAAAACTACATCAACCAGTGTATGCGCCTTTGCCAAAATAAAATCCAATTAAATTAAACTCCATTTACAAGTTGTGATATTTATCACTAGAGCTAGTTTAAAATCACTTGTATTTAAAATTCCTCAAAAGCAAAAGATAACAGAATAATTGTTATCTGCCACTTTATCATATTACTATTGTTTTCACATCAGAACTTTTACATTTACATTTACTCACTTTATAGATTACCCTTATCTGTTCAAGAACCTTTACATAGTAAAAATTAATACAAATTCATAGTTAGTTCTGAATTATGCTGTAATGACTTTCATCAATTTATACAGGCCTTTAAATCAAACAAAATTAATGAGATTTAACTACACTTGTATTTTATTTCAAGTTTATGATTCTAATGTCAGTAATAAGTAAATGTAAACTCTGTGACTTGCCTGATCAAACTGGGTAACTTCTTGGCCAGAAGGAATTTGGAGTCCCCAGAGTCTGTACTTTTTAGCAACACTGGGAAACTGCAGCTCCACCGGAATCTCCACTATATCAGATCGATTTAGGATTTCAGTATTTCCATAGTCAACGTACCTCACCAGACACTGGAAAAAGAAGACTGACACTGAACTTCAATTAAATATTGCAAAGAAACCATTAATTTACTGCTTCCTGTGGATTATCTGCAGTCAAAATTGCATTTTATCTAAAACTAACAAAATGCATTCAGAAATGGAGCGCTAGATATAACTTCAAAACAATGAAATCCACAGTTCATATTAGTGATGTCTATATTTGGTACTAATTGAATTCTACCTGTAGCATTTTATATTTTAGCTTTCTTTTGTTTTTTTTAAACTAGTATTTTAAATAAGCCTAAGTCCATGGTGTTTATGATCCTCTTCTCTCTCTCCTAATGTTAAAATTAATCAATATCCTGAAGTTCTAGTTGAAAAAGACCTGAAAGGAAAGGCAAAATTAATCAAACTTCCTTTGATAAAACTGTACCCACTCCAGCTACCAGACCTTAGAACAGTGGTTCTCAACCTTCCTAATGCCACGACCCTTTAATACAGTTCCTCATGTTGCGGTGACCACCCCCCCCAACCATAAAATTTTTTCATTGCTACTTCATAACTGTCATTTTGCTACTGTTATGAATTGGGCAACCCCTGTGAACCGCTGCCTTAGAAACAACTCATATTCATCCTTGCCACTGATCTTAAGTGTCTTTAATAAAAAAATTACATGGTCAAAAGCTACCTTGCCCCTTAACTTATTTTAAAGTCAAAAGCCATCTTGACCCTCCGTTTAAGAGGCAAACTCAAATCCAAGAGCAAAATATCATGTCCAATTGTCAAACTACAGGGTAAAGTTCTCTATTGTGGTTGGCAGCCTCCCGATCGTCCTGATTCATGAGGCTCAGATGTCCATGACCCATAGGACATTGTCTATTAGAAAGGTCTAGTTTGTTGTTTTACTGCTACCTCTGATAGTGCTGCCTCACAAGCTTTAGAAAAGAACCCAAGTTATCTGAAGCATTAAATTGCTTCATCTTATCACCACTTTATTATACCAAGAAAATATATGTAAAATATGTATTACACTATAAATGTTCTATATTAAAATACTATATTTTAAGTCTAGGAAATTAAATGTAGATAAAACACTGAAGGAAAGCCTTCAGAAATGCTATTACCCAGCCTGCAACATGCAATTGCCAAGCAAATATTCAACATCCTATCTCAAGTTCACAATGTAAAAAATAAAAGTTAATGATCCATTTTAAATTTGTTCTAGTTTTTAATATTTCCTGCTTTCTTTTTTATTGAGGTTTTTTGCTTTACTGTTATGTTTTTTTTTGTCTGTTATAATGTCTTTCTGTATATAAAATCAAGGATAGGTACGACTATAGAGACAGTAACTGAATTAATGGTCGCTGGGGCATGGCAGGGAAGGTTGGGGGAAATGGGAAGCTAACAGTGATGAGCACAAAAATGAAGAAAAGGATCTAAAACTGATTGTGGTGATGATTGTACAACTCTTTTTGATGATAGAACTATTGAATTATATGATATGTGAATTACAAGTTAAAGAGGGTGGGGAAGCCAAATGTTATTCTGGATAAAAATGTTATTTATATAAACATGTACTAGGTTGAATGTTATTTTTAAATAAATAAAATAGCTAAATACAAAGAAAATTCATCACCTTTAATGTCTGAGCTTTAAGTCATGAGATTATTAACATCAATCCTATATATTTAATTTCAGTATCAATCAGACATTATTTTCCCCCTCCTCAATTTTAATAAAATGAACTTTAAAAGTAACCCAATATTAAGAACCAAACATTATTAAGAACTGAAGATACAAAGAAACAACCAAAGATATCTCTGGTCACCAAAGCTAATCTACAAGTTATTGTCATCTAGACTGCACAATCTCAGGTGATTATGTAACAATTTAAATTCAGGAGAATAGTCCTGAATTTTATCTTCGTTTTGGGGGGTTTTGTTTTGTTTTCTTTTGGGGGGGAAGTTGAGAGAATAAAACCAATTAACTTTTTTGTATTCATTAGAAAAGAAAAATAATGTTTTAATCGATTAATCATTTCACTGAACTGAATCAGGTAACTACTATGAATCATCAAAAAAGGGCTAAATGAGCATCCGATTTGGGACCTACAATACATCTCTACTATTCAAAAGAACTAAACACTGATTTCTTGCCTTTTCATCGTTGATTACTTTCAGTACTTTGCATCTGTACCAACATTTATCTTCAGAAAACAATCCCCCATAAATCTATGAGAAAAGAAAAGTAAATTTTCAGTGTTAAAGAAGTAATGCATAAAGGTTGCCATTAGTCAGTCAGCACTTTATACATAACTTATTTATTTCTCAAACACAATGTAACAGTTATTTCCATCATTCTATGGCCATAGCCATAAGTTAGGAAGTAGCAGAACCAAGATTCAATCTCAAAACAATTTGACTTCAAAGTCCCTTATGCTATTCTGGTGCTCAGGATATTAGAAAGAGACAAAAAAGGTATAATATTAAAAGTTTAAAATTAGTATCTAAACACATAGATGAAACAACTCTTTTTAAATCTTTTTATTCACCAGGTATCTTTAATTCTAATTTTCAAGCACATAGGAATCTATATTTCCCACCAGTCAAGGACAATTTTTACACCTCTTTAAGCATAAGGACTTTAGTTTTCAAAAGATAAAATTAAATAATATCCTCAATGCTGAACTTTCATTCTATTGTAAATTCCTAATTCAGTTTTAACTATGTTTCATGGAAAAGCAAAGAGAAAATGATATTTTAAATAATAGTTTCTCAAGATCAACATTTGGGAATGGATCATTCTGTGAAGAGAGGCACTGTCCGGTGTACTATATGGTATTTAGCAGCAAACCCCCTTGACTACCCACGAGATGCAAGTAAGACCCCTCCAGGTGTGAGAAACAAAACGGTCTCTGGAAATTGCCAAACATGGACTGTGAGAGAGAGATATACAAACCCATAGATTATTTAATGAGGACAATAATGTCCCCCAGGAAGTGAAAATTGCTTCTAGAGGATAAGATTAAAAATGTCTTAAATCTATTACAATGGTTTGTAGCCCTCTAAAACTCAACAAGCCTATTCAACAATATAAACAGATACCCAGTAGACATGCAGTAGCGAAAATTTCACAGGGAATGGTGAGAGAAAATTTGGGAAACCATAAATCCAATAAAGGGCTAATATCTACGTTTTATAAAATACTTCTACAACTTACCTGCAAAAAGACAAACAACCTGATCAAAACTGGGTAAAGAACTCGAATGAACAATTCACAGAGAAGGATATTCATACAACCAACACACATGAGAAGATGCTCAAAATGTCATTAACCATTAGAGAGAAGCAAAATAAAGATACCATTTTATCCCTATTAGAATGGCAGTGATAAGAAAAGTGAACAATAGGTGTTGGCAGGGTTTTGTAGACTGGTAAAGCGACTGTAAAAAAAAAAAAAAAAAAGGCAATTCAGCAGTTCCTCCAAGGTTGAACCAGGGAACCATCGTGTGTCCCAGCAATTCCTCTCAGGTGCGTGCCCAAAAACCTGAAACCAGAAATGCCAACAGACATCTGTACACTAATGTTCATTGCAGCGGTATTCATCTACCACTGATGAGGTGGAAACAGATGAATGGAGGAACAAAAGGTAGTATACACATCCAACGGAATATTACACAGCCCTAAAGAGGAATGAAGTCCTAAGAAGACATCATTCTGAGCCAAGTAAGTCAGATACAAAAGAACAAGGAATGTATATAATATTACTTATGTGAAATTAACAACTATATAGTGAAGGAGCCATGAGAGGAGCACTGTGTCTCATGTCATGTATATGTCTAGGACAGTGCACAAACGTCTGTCCTAGCTGGTTCTCATAAACTGCTTCCTTACTGCAAACAGTAAGGAATTCGAGGAAGCAGCTGCAAACAGTGTTCCCTGGTAGAAAGAAAACAAGACCTGGACGGGCTGAGATACGGAACTCACTCTCAAGGCTATGAGAAATTCAAGTGTGGGAATAGCAAACTTGTCTGGGCACACTGCCAGTATTTAGTACATAAAAATAAAGCACTGTGGGCCATCAAGGCTGCAGTTTTTACCGTCTGTCTGTGTCTATTTTGTGCTGCAGTCCTGTATTGTGTGTGTGTGTGTGTGTGTGTGTGTGTGAGGTTCCATGTTCATTCTCCCTGCTTAAGAAACCGCAGCATCAATATAGCATCTAAAAGTAATTATGGGAGCCAGAAGCAGTTTGGGGAAGGGAATCATTTACTGAAAAATATTCTTAATGTATGTAAATAAAGAAAACATTTTCATGAGGAAGGAGACCACTAGTAGAGAAATGTCTACACTGCTTAGTGTTAGTCTAAAATTAATTTAAAATGTGTCACGTTCAAGTAAGAGAAGTTCACAGATTTCTTTTAAAGCAAAAGTAATGCACAGGTGAAACTTAAAACCCTTCAATTCCCCAATGTATTAAAATGCAAATTGATGCAGATACACAAATGCTAACAATGCAAATACTAGGTGTTCAATTAGCATTTAATTTAATTCCTTGAACTAACACTCAACAAATGGAGGGCAAAAGTAGGCACTAATGACATGATACTCTCCCAAACTTTGGAATGTTTCAGAAAGTGAATAGGTTTTAGCGGCAAAACTAACAGTCCTAGCCAATTTCAATCTCAGCAAAAAGCCCATTGTTTAATTAAGGTTTTGTAATGATTCACAAATATCACTAACGTGGTATAAGGTCAGTGACAAATATTAACTAAGCTGACATAAGGCAAGTGGCACCCTTGCAAGTCTAGGCAAGGGTGAATATAGTCATATGAGGTATACATACAAGAACTGAGCTGGGACCATGTGGAGGAACCTAATGTTCCTTAGTATTACCAATACCACATACAGCAAAATTCATCCCTCGACCATCTCAGAATATCCTCAGAACTACACTATTCCATTACCTCATAATTCCACTTCCCATGAACTTTTTGAAATCCCTTTATATAGTCACTCCCTTGTACCTGGTCCCAATCCCTTCCCCTATAAATCTACTATGTATAGTAAGCACATGGCCAGCCTCTGTGTTGAGAGGGAAAGAACCACCTGGTCACTCAAACACAGAAACAAGACAAAACAAACCCCACCAAGCTCACTGGCCTGGCGTCAATGTCGACTCTTAGGGATCCTGTAGGACAGGGGAGAACCTCCCTGTGGGTTTCCAAGCCTGTGAACTCCTTTACCGGGAGTGGAAAGACTCATCTTCCTCCTGAGGAACAGGTGTTGGCTTCTAACAATTACACTGGCCTTTAGCAATCTAACACATAACCACTGTGCCACCAGGGCTCCTACTTGGTCACCAAGAGCGTACAAGCATAGATAATCAGATGTGGATTAATACTAATTTATAATCAGAAGCTTATTATTGAAATTAGCTTTAATTTTCGGTAGAGAAATTGATTGTGCATACAACAGAGGAAAGGAGGTTATGTTAATATAAGGTGACCAGACGTCCCGCTTTTGGCGGGACAGTTCAATTTTTAACAATTTTTCCCACATCCCGCGGCATTTTAAAAAAGTCCTGACTTAAGATATATGGTTTTTGGCTGCCATGTGACTATTTCGCCAGAATTTGGGTTTTATCAATGGTGTCCCGCTTTTGTCCCGCTGTACCAATGTTAAAATCTGGTCACTTTATGTTAATAGGCTTTAAGTGGTTACATTTGGGGCTGCTAACCACAAATTGGGCACCAATGGCTCCTTGGGAGAAAGACGGGGTTTTCTACTTCCATAAAGAGTTACTCTCCGAAACCCACCAGGGCAGTTCTACTCTGTTCTATAGGGTCACTAAGAGTCAGCATCGACTCGACAGAAATGAGCTCTATTTTGTTTTGAAGTAAATTACATTACCCTATCAGATCTGATGTTTAGCTCTGGACCACTTTTGTCTTTCCTTTTAAACTACTTCTTTTTGTACATTTTTATTTATGCCATTGGAATTTTAACCATTTAAAACAAAACTTGTTCAGACACATGATATAAAAAAAGAAACCAAAGCGCATTAATGGGGGTTAAAAGGAACACTTCCCACCACATGCCTTTTGAAAAAGACATTTTTTATTTTACATTTACTGTCTGCAAATAGGGACAAGGGGACTTCACAAAGTTCATGGGAAAATGGAATTGAACAATAGCAGATATCTAAGTATATGATTTCTTTCCTACTTGCACAGATGGGCTCCTTTTACAGATGTTACCCTGCCCTTCAAGGGGCCGAGTGGCATAGTGGATTATGAGTTGGGCGGCTAACTATGTTCGAACCCACTAGCCACGCCCTGGGAGAAAGGTAGGCTTTCTGCTACCAGAAAGAGTTACAGCCCAGAAATCCAAAGCAGTTCTACTCAGTCCTATAAGGTCACTAGATGTCAGAACTGACTCAGTGGTAGTGAGCTTATCCTACACCTTCATCCGTAAGCGCATACAGAAATCTACTTCACTCACCTAAATAACAAGGATCAGGAAGAGGGCAAGGTAAACCAGGCACCCAGGACACAAAATCCCAGGAGGCCCTTACTCTCAAACTTCTGCATCTGTAGGATAGGCACTTTTATGACCAGTGAACACCTCTCTAAGAGGAAGACGTAGAGTGCACAATATTTAAGGACTCACTCATAATCGAGTACTAACTTAGCACTTGAAATTGAGAGTGATCCTCAAGTTTTGCACTTGTCTCACCATAGCATAAAACCAAACCAAACTCACTACCATCCAGTCAATGCTGATTCACTGTGCCCCCATCCGACAAGGCAGAATTGCCCCCGTGGGTTTCCGAGACTTAACTTTTTCAGGGAGTAGAAAGCCTCCTCTTTCTCCCAAGGAGCAGCTGGTGATTTTGAACTGTTGATCTTGTGGTTAGAAGCCCAACGTGTAACCACTACGCCACTAGGGCTCTTCCACCACAGTATATGCCTTAAAAGTGGCTAGTTTTCCAACCTAAGGATTTCACTCAAATTTATTAATTATTCCAATATAAGGCCGCATTTAAGAAGTTGGGTTCTGTGATACCTGCATTGGAATACTTGCTCCACCATTAACTATCTGGTAACTTTCACAAAGTTACTCTGGCTGTATCTCAATTTCAAAAGAAAGGGAGAAATAAAACGATACCGACCTCACAGGGTTGTGAATGCTTAAAATGTTCTTTGATTCAGTAAATGCTAGCCACTATTACTACTACTGGTGCAATATATTCACAGATGCTTAGTATTTCCAGTATTAACCATTACAGAAAATGCGGTGGTAAGGGGAACCAATTGCAATGATCAACGTAAAACTACCACCCACGCCCCCCAGAAGGGGGACAAACAACAGAAACGTGGGTAGCGAGAGACAGTGGCTGGTGTAAGACATGAAAATAACAGTTATGTCTAGTTTATCAAAAGTTCACGAGGATGGGAGTGTGAAGGAAGGAGGGAAAAGAAAAGCTGATACCAAGGGCTCAAGTAGAAAGTAAACGCTTTGAAAATGATGATGGCAACATCTGATCAAATGTGCTAGATCAGTTGATGCATGGATTGTTATAAGAGCTATAATCGCCCTCAATAAAATAACTTTAAAAAGAGAGAAAACGCTGTGGTGAACTATTTACAAAATCATCTCTGTATACTTTTTGAAATGTCTAGAGAATAAATTCTTGGCAAATAAATTGATATATCCAAGACTTCGTTGTTGCTGCTGCTGTTGTGCATGTTTCTGTGTGAATGTATGTTTCCTTCCATGTTGGATCATGTGGTAACTTTCTGTTTAATTGTTCAATGAACTGTAAGACTGTTTTCCAAAATGGAGAAATCGTTTCACATTCCCATCAGCAGTGGGTCAGGGCTCTGATTTCTCATCTTTACCAACATTTAGCTGGCTTTTTTATTCTAACCATTCTAGTGGGTGTGAAGCAGTATCTCATTGTGGTTTTGGTTTGCATCTCCTGGTGACTAATGATGCTGAGCATCTTTCCACCTGCATACTAGACAGTTATCTATTTGAATCAATATACTCTTTACTAAGGCTGCAACTATAAAATATAAGGACTGGAAAATACAGTATTCTTACATAAATAAGAAAGCTAACAGGAGAGATAGAATAATTATACCCATAAATACACTCACCTTCTTTGAATCAAGATTCCCAAAAACAGAGTTGGCATGGGGACAAACTTCAGACAATGAGCAACCAATCTTCACAATATCCTTATTTCTATTGATACTCTATAATGAAAGAACAGTATGAGATTCAAAGAAATATTGTTTTACTCCAATGCAAACCAAAAGAAAATTTTACTAAGCATATTTTTTAAAGTATTAGAAATTAAATCAAATACTTACGTCACATCATTTAAACAAGCTCTAAGAAATGAGACTTGTTACAGAAAAAGGTTACTCCCAATGAGTTCATATGACTTAGAATTCAGACCAAGGTACTAAATATTATTAAATCAAATGAAGTCATTGTACATATAAAATACACTAGATTTCAAAAAGGTAAAAGACTGTTAATATTATTTCACGGTGAAATGTTAATATTTTAGATCTACTAGATTAAATATATTAGTATATGTTTCCTTTTTTACCTTTTATTTTGCCCTTGGGATTTTTAAGGTGGCTGTGAGAGATTTTTTAATTACTTGGGAAACTTTCTATTGGAAGACACTAGTCTAAAAATCTTAAAACTAAGATTTCCAATATAGCTATCTTAAACATACTATTTATCATCCAACTAAGGACACTCTTGAGAGTAACAAAGATACTATTAACACAGAGCCAATGAGCATAGACTTAAAATATGTAGAAACCCTTTCTGTGGCTAATTTTGTACATTTAAGGGATGATATAAGCACTTTGGTGCTGTATTTTGTTATCAAGGCTTAGAACCAATTCATTACAGTTTGATATCCTACTGAGAATGTGCAATTCCACCCCAGATACAGTATTAAAATCAGAATAGCCATAATATATAGAGATGTTGTTAAAATAAGACTCTAATTGAGTTTAACTGAGGCAGAAAAGGACCTTCTCAGTAGAGGTCAAACCAGAAAGGAACCTCAGGTGACTCTAATGTGGGGAGCTGGTTAAACCATAGAGTCTGCTTTACTGTATCTGGAGTGGCACTGCAAATTCTCAGCACGTGGTCAAACCAGAATGAATAACAGAGTGAGAAGTCATGCTTTGTATTTAAAATTATGCAAACTCAAAAGGCTGTGAATGGAAAATGAGAAATGTTCCAGGAGGGTTTCCATTTTCATAAGTTGTAAGAGAACTAAAAACAACACTTCATCTCCATCGAGTCAATTCCGACTCAGTTAAGAGCACGCATCTTAAATGGAATATTAAGCCCTTAGGAAAAAATCATCAGAGATTCAAAATCTTAACATCTTTCAATAAACAATCTCTACAAAAGACCCCTAGATGGGGCTGTAACTTTAAAAATACAACAGTCTCTAGTGGAACTCTGAAATCACAACCTTCTTGAGCCTACCCCCCCACCCCCCCAGGGGCTCCAGCTCAAGCCAAACCCTAGCTATAGCCATCTGTCATCTAAATGTTGCCCTATGATCCTCCCCTGTAACCTATTTTAAAAGTGTTTCCGCTTTTAATATTTTCTGCTCTTTTCAATTGAAGTTTTTCTCTGTTTTTGTTTTGTAATTGGTGGTTCTGTTTTGTTTTGTACGATTTTGTGCATATGCGATCCAGGATAGGTACATACAGAGTTAATAATTACCTAGGGGCATGGCAGGGGAGGTTGTAGGGAAATGGGGAGCTAACAGCTAGCAGGAGAAAGAGCATGTTCTGAAATTGATTGTGGTGATGATTGTACAATTCTTCTTAATATGACTTAACTATTAAATTTAGGATGTGGAATTATATTCCCAAAACCCTCTTTTTAAATTAGGCAATGAAAAAACAATGGTACATATGTTCCTGGGTTTTCATTTTTGTTTTGTTGAGAAGATGAAGTAGGGAAGAGAAACCAACTGAGCTGCTATTTACCTGTGCCCAAAATGTCACAGCATCTTCTACATGACTTCCGACAACATCTTCAACTAGAGATAAATCACAATGCAAAAATGAGAAATTAATCAATAGCATCTGGCTCTTGCACCCCAACAAAATAATTTTTGCCTCAGTACCTTTATTGTAATGTGGATCTTCATCCATCTTGGTAATTCCTGAAAAACTAAAACAATCCAGTACTTGATTAGGTGATAAACAATCATCTGATAACAGTGACTAAAGACTAATGCATTAATGTTAAGATTCCCCCAAGGAGGGAGGGGAAAAATGAGGACCTAATGTCGGGGGTTTAAATGGAGAGAAAATGTTTTTAGAAACGATGTACAAATGCGCTTTACACAATTGATGTGTGTATGGATTGGGATAACAGTTGTATGAGCCCCTAATAAAATGTTAAAAAAAAAAAAAAGATTCCCCCAAAAAACGTTTGGTAATGAACAAAAGTTATCAAACTTCAAATTCCATATTAAAACAATCTCCTTAAAGAGATTTCAAATTGATTTTACAACCTTTCAATCAATTCATTTTAAATTCTTTTACTTTACTTTTTGACCAGTATTAGAGGGGAAATCCTTGCCACTTTGATGCTATTATGAGTATTTGAGAAAAAAAATATTTTCAGCTGTAATGAAAATTCCAAAAAATCAAGTTTTGTAAACATTTTGGCCATGTAACATTTACAGAATTGATAACTTTTTTCTTCCTATAATTTTGGTTCTGTGATGATTCAAAGATATTTTCTTAAATGACTAAAATTCACTCATTCTTGAATGTATTTTACAACTTTATCATGTGTTTCTCTGGAAGACATAGTCTTAAACTGATCGCTATAGAGATTTGCCTTGGGAAGCCCTCTGCACACACCTCTAAGATACTATTTTTAGAACAGGTTAATTTTAAAATCTTATTTTCAATGAAGGAAAAAACATTTCTGCAAAGATGACGAAGGCACACATGTTGCGATCGCTTTTTGTATGGCCAAATGGCATTTCCTATGGATCCAAATCTCTCCGTCACTGCTATAATTTGTACTGTGATGGCATTTTCAAATTTGAAGGACACGAAATTGGACCTGCGTCTTCAAGCCGACTTAGGCGGGGGCTTTTGCTCGCAGTTTCGCGGGCGGCAAGCACGCCCCGCCCCAGAATCACGCGCCCTCCGCCCTTGGCTGTGGCGAAGGTCCAGAGGGCGCAGGAAGGCCCGGAGTGGGCCTTGCCCGGACTGGGAGGCCAGCACTGTGCCCACGGCCAACCGGGCGATCTCTGAAGCGTCGCTACACCGCGCCGGCCCCAAGGACGACTACTGACCTCGCACCGTCCATCACGGAAGCTCTAGTGAAGTGCCCCCGGCCCCACATGCTCACCCGCCAACAAGCCCTCCGCCCCTGTGCGCACATGCACGACCTTACCGCTCGGGCCCCAGCATTTCCGGCTCCGGCGCCGACTGCGCGTGCGCGTGCGCGTGCGCCCCCGTCGGGTTTGGTGGTAGTTGCCGCCTGGCTCACGTGGCCGCCGAGCTCGTGAGCACGAGACGAGGCGTCGCGGGTGGAGGCCGCTTGCGCCTGCCCCTCCCCCACCGCCCAGGTGGGAAGCTGGAGCGCAGAGGACGCTGCGCATCGGTTTGAATTGTGTAGGCCTCGCGCGCACCTGAGGGCCTTTGAGGGGGAGGGGGGATTTAATTCAAAGGTTGAAGCATCCAACTGGAAAGACAAAAATGGCCTTTGTGAGAGACAGTTTTGTTTCGTTTGTTTCAAATTAGTAGCGCTACAAGCATGTATCAAGCCAACTCAATCATCTTTAATGTGGCCACTTTTCACACATTAAGATGCAAAAAGTGTTCGATTTCAGCTGTCCAGTTACGTGCAGATAGTACACTTTGTGGCAAACCTTATACAAATGAGAACTATCTCCATTTTTTAAGGTTTAATTGAGGTATAATTAGCGTATAATAAACTACACATGATATAAAAATAGCGGTTTTCTAAGCGCAGACATCACAGGGTAACAAAGACCATCCCCTGAAATAGCCTCATGCCCATTTGTAACGCCTACCCTTCAATAGTAACCTCTGATCTACCTTCTTTCTGTCTCCAGAAGTTTGCATCTTGTCAAATGTGCTAATACTCAGACCAAACGTTTTGTAAACTGCTTTTAGGCCGGGGTCTGGTATCTTGCATTCGCCATGATTATTTTGAAATTTAACCATTTTGCTTTTTTATTGCTGAGTACCTATTGCTTGATATATGACCAATCCAAATAGGACATTTGGATTGCTTCTAGTTTGGGATTATTTCAAAAAAGCTGCCATGATCAAATGCGTAGAAGTCTTGGTATAAACATGCTTTCTCTCATTCCTGTTGGGAGAATGCCTAAGAGAAATTTCTGATACATAGTGTGGGTCTGTTTAACTTAAGAGACTGCCAGGCCATGGTACAAAGTAGTGGTACTGGTCTATATTCCAGCAGCAGTTTGAGAGTCCTAGTTGCCCCATATTCTCACTATTACTTGATATGTCAGTGTTATTATGTTTAGACATGTGCTAGTAGTATCTGGTTTACTATCAGACTTAGGGGCAACATACTTGCCCTTTAAACCAAAATTAAACCAAGCCTATGCCATTGAGTTGAATCTGACTCATAGTGACCCTAAAGGGCAGAATAAAACTACCCCTTTGCCGTTTGGGGACTGTAAATCTTGACAAGGGCAGACAGCCTCATCTTTCTCCCTTGGAGAGATGGTGGATTCGAACTTTGACTTTGCAATTAGCAAGCCAACCCATATCTCCTTCACCACCAGGGCTCCTTACTTAACGTGAATTGAGAACAGGGTTCTGCTCCCATAAAGGCTACCGTCTTGGAAACCCTATATAGGGTTGCTTTGAGTCACACTCAACTCAGTGGCAGTGGGTTTCAGTCGGTTGGGTTTTTTGTTTTGTTTTTTACAGAGATGCTCATGGCACATGCAAGTAAAGCCTGTTGTCCTTCCTTTCCAGCCTGCCTCTTATTTCTTTTATCTCACTTGATTGCAGTGGGTAGAACCTCCAGTATGATGTTGAATAGAAGTGACTAGAGCAACACCCTGGCCATGTTCCTGCTCTGAGGAGGAAAGCATTCGCCTGTCACCATCAAGTATGACTTTTGCCGTGAGCCTTTTAGGAGATAGGCTTTGTCAATTTAATGATAACTATTATTCCTAGTTTCTTAGGAGTTTCTATGATGATTGTATGTGTACTATTGTCAAATACTTCTGCATCTTTTGAGATGATCATGTGATTCTTCTTTTATTAGTATGGTGACTTACATTGATTGATTTTCACATGTTAAAACAACATTGCATTCTAAGATAAAAGCCCCTTAGCTTGTTGTGATAATACAGTTTATTTGAGATAAGAACTGCACCCCAGGGGGGGAAATGTGGAGCTGATATCAAGGGCTCAAGTAGAAAGCAAATGTTTTGAGAATGATGATGGCAACAAATAAACAAATGTGCTTGACAC